TGAACAATACGGGTCCAAGGACAGAGCCTTGGGGGACCCCACTGGTCACAGGGCACCATGATGAGTGACTGCCATCAATTACTACCCTCTGGGTCCGACCACGGAGCCAATTTCCCAGCCAGCGGATCATGGTGGACCCAAGGCCACAACTGGCCAGTTTTGCCAAGAGGTGATCATGGGATACCAGATCGAAGGCTTTTTTGAAGTCAAGATATATGACATCAATCTCTTCTCCCTTGTCCAGGTGATATGACACAATTGGTTCCTGAAAATCGTGTCTTAAGTCGAAACGTAACTCAGAACCAATTTCCCATAGGAACAATGTTATAAATGAGGGATTGGTTCCTGAACCAAGGCCCAATACCCTATTTCCACCAAAAATACCCCAGAATTTTGTACTCAATCAATTATAGATGAGTAATATAGCGACAATAATGCATTTATATTGTAAATAGCAATCGTATTGCTTTGGAGGGCCTTTTTTGAGGTGACTTTGCTGGACGTTTTGGAGGTCTCCCGGCTGGAGGCTTCTCAGGAGTCCTGGCTGGAGGTCCTTCTGGCGTCCCGTCTGCTTTCTTGACGGAAGTGTCCAGGGAAGTGTGGACAGACGGGAGAGGAGGTGAGGGACGTGGTGGCATCGCTCGGCTCAAGCATTGTTCTGTCAAACCTGGCGCCAGGAGCTGAAGCGGGGTGTCCATTTCTAAACGCTGCAAGTCGAGGACTGCCTGTACCGAAGGTGTTTTACCTCGGGAGACGTTCCCAGGTTTAACCTTTCAGCGTCGCCGTGAAGCACGAATTCACAGGGACAGTTTGGGGCGCGCCGGGTTTTTCATGGCGGACTGGCGTTAAGAAGGACAACGCCGCTGGAGACAAGGAAGCACCACAGAAAGACGAGGATTTAGGAGCTGAGCTGTGCCCAGCGCCCCCCGTGTCCTGCCGCAGCCAGCCCGCTCCTTGACTCTCAGGCCCGGATCGCAGGCGGGGTTTGGGGCCGGCGGGGCGCCAGGCCGGG